AACCATCTTCAACAGCATTAATTGAAAATAATATTTCGTTTTCGTTACGAAAATATGAGTGATATTTAATATTAGCAAACGGTGTTACAGTTGAATTTTGATTTGGTATTTGTATTTTGTATAATGCTGAAGTGTATAGTGGGTTAGAATCAGTACCACGTCCACAGAACAACAGAGCCACATCTTTATCATCTGTTGTGGACAAAAATGTGTTCATACATAAACGTGTACCAACTTTAAATTGTTTTAATTTACTTAAAGCTAACCGTTGCCCTCTATAAACTACTCTGGCATCAACGGTTGATACTTGATACAATAATGATAATTGTCGATGTAAATCGACAATAATTAAACGAAATTTCAGTAATTCATTAATATTTCTTTCCCGTAAAACTTTATTTAATAAACGGTAGAGAAAACATGCACGTGTATACCATTTAATTGCATCATGAGGTTCATAATCACGTTCAAATTCATCAATGATAGATAATTCTGCTGGATTATTCTGGTAATGAACACGTACTGCTTTTAATAATTCTTCTTTACCTAAATCATTATCATGTTTTACATCTAATAAAACTTTCATTTTTAATTGATCCCAAATATAATAATTTTGATCTAATTCTAAATCGGTTGATGATTTATCCGAATTTAATAACGATAGTTCATTTATACTTATGCTGTCAGTGATTCTGACTAGGTCATGATTTAGTTTTTCTAAAAGTTCATTATTATCGGAACATTTGATACGAACTTTTTTAGTTTGAAACCAACTGAAATTTGCTTTAGACAGAGAAGAAGAAGAATGAATATAGATAAAAATAATCATTTGAATATGATGAACGGCTGGTAGTATGTAATTCATAAATAAATCATGTTCATAAATAATTAAAATTAACTTTTTATCTTTTATTGTATCAATATATGCCAGTGTATCATCGATATTATTAAATTTAATAAATGATTGGGTAATACAATGTAAACGTTGTGATATATCGTCAATTTGTGCATCTTTTTTATGAATTAAAACAATGACGATGTTATTATTATTATAGTCATCGTTCATTTTTCTTTTTGAAATAAAAATATCAAAACAAAAATTCGCGATGTGATTTCATGTGAAAGAACAGAGCAAAAACACATCATATAGTATCGATAAAATATTCTTGTTTTAGTTCTTTCTTCGAATAGAAGAACAAAAACGAAATATATGCATATTTTTCGTACCGATGCGAGCGCAAAATTATTTGTGTCGATTTGCGGGAGCAGTGTACATAATACATCGATTTTCTTTTTCGAAGTTCTATTTCTGGTATAAATTTCAACTCGATCAAATATCGGCTTCCATGGTTTTCAAGAGGGTCATAAATATGTGATATGTGCCAGAAGTTCTGGACCAGAACTTCTGGTACATATTATTGATCATATTTTCGAGTGTGTCTTTCTCGGCATCATACCTCAGTAGAACTATTATATGTCATTCGAAAGCTCTTTTTCTGCGCTATATCACATATACGGAAATAGTCGTTCTGAGGCCAAGTACGTTTAGAAATACTTCTGTCTATGGAAAATAATCTCCTGTGTGCAAAACATCTAAGATAATCTATGACACCCTTTATGATCTAACCACTACGATAGATATATCATTCGATAGACAATTTCTCGCGCTACAATTTCATGCATATATAATAGTGACAAAAGTGTCACTGAATAATGTTTTGAATAGCCCGAAGATTTTTTCTATCAGATTAGATGCATAGCGGCCTTTCATGAAAAAGGTTGATAATAGAGCTTCGGGAAAACCTGACTGCTGAAACACAGGGGCGTGAAAGCTACCAAAATATTCCGGG